CTCACTGGAATATATATTTGCAGGTGATAAAACTAGAATCTCTATGCAGACAGAATTAAATAATTAATTGAAGTAATATTAATGAAAAACAATTGATTTGTCACGCAGTGTCAGTTTTCAATGCAGATAACACTCCACGAAAGCTTACCACAGTCCAGCCACAAATTCAAGCTATCTGATACACACAGTGTAATTGTGACATGTATTACAATAGTTATCATTATCGCAGTTGGAACTGATGTTAGCTATGTGAAATATGAATGCAGGTTTGGATATGTAACATTCAATATACCCCATAACCTGCTTCTGAATACCACTACGTGATGCAAATTCAGCCTGTATGACGTCATGTGTCATTGAACGTTGTAACCACACTCAACAAAATATCGCAGCCACAACTCGGTTAGTTCACGTAGTAAACGATATCATTTGTTGGACAAACAGGGGAGACACCTTCCAATATGCAGCTTAACTACGCCATCTTGATGAAACTCTCGCAGTTTTTGAAATTCCGATACCATGGAATGGTCCGTTCTCGATATTATGCTCCAATTAAGATCTTCAGTGTAATGATATGGCAGATCATTGCCTTTTTCATCGGTATAAAAAGGCCAATAACCAAATAGATGAATTTCCTCACAGACGGAAAGCCCAAGTGTAAACAACAGCATTCCTAAAATAAAATCAGAAACGCAACTATTATTATTATTCTAAACACATATGTACATATATATTTTTATATTTTCGAATCAAAGCGTTCATGAATGTTGTTGTTGAATATATAAAAAAAAAACGTTCGCCCCGAAAAAATATTTATGCTAAACATTATTGATTATATCGTCACAAAACTAGAAACAAAATGGCAAAACGCTACCAAATATACCTTCAGATCAACTCCCAATGAAATCACAAAACTAAAAGTAGGCAATATAAAATATCGGGAGAAAAATTACAAATCCAATAAATACACCTATAAATGGAAAAATTCTTTTCTAACCAAACATGGAAATATTCTTTGGTCAAAATAACGACTTAGAGTGCTTGAACAATGATGGTGTATTATACAGACTCTCAAAAACACCTCGACGTTTTTATGCCGACGATAAAAAATGTGGACAGATTACAAAAAAATAACACAGAGTAACCATGTGATCGGTGGCACTTGTGTGAATAACACAGCACTGACCTGTTGACACTTTTTTGTCAAGGTTCCAAAATTGTTGCAATGACAGTAAATACTTTCTGTCAAGTACCATGGCGCCGAGTGTGGTACTGTGTATCACGTGATTCAAGAATTCAGGAGTGGACTTTGTTATGGTAGCAAACATAACGTGACCCGTGAATGAGTTTAGCGTTTCATTGAACGCTAAAATGTCGTAATTGTACCTAAATGTAACAAACAAACACATTATCATAAGGTAAATTTGTTATTTCATGTACAAAGTTGTCTTGCGCATTGTGCTTGCTGCTTATTCCAGCATATGTAGTAATACGTGTCATGGTGTATTTTTGCAATATAAAGATATTAAATAATTCCAATTCGTGAAAATTTTATCTTACTTTCTTACCTCCGCCAGATTATGCTTGGATTGAAACTCGTAAAGTTAGTTTTTTTCCCTGCATCATTTGTAAATCCCCGAATGTAAGGTAGATTTGATCTACAGAGTACAATAAGGATACATAGTGCAATTACGTTTCCAAAAGTTACAGGTGACATTGGCCTGCAATATCTAAATTGTTTGAAAGATTTCATATACAAAATTAAATAAGATAATGTAATGTATATTTGGAAAGATTTATTTGACAAGTGTTATTCCAGAACAATGATACACACAACATTGAACTTCAAAAAAAAAATAGAGGGAAATACCTGAAAACATAATCGGCTTTATCAATTTCCTCTCCACACCAACTGTCTTTCAATATACCACTGTTGCCAACAATGCTGCATCTTCGGTACAAATTACTGTTGTTGCGAAAATTATTCTAGAAACAAATCAGCTGAAACGTTTATTTTTTCCAACTACAAGGTTTGGAACATACCACAGTTCCAGATAATCATATAACTATTTGAACGCCAAAGTTACTTTTTTCAGTATAAACCTGACAGATTTTTGAAGTTCATAAAGGCATGTACCAAATGGTAGTAATTATGATCATTTGGCTTAAAGGCGAAATAATTTGAGGATACTGCAGATTATGCACGAAGACAGTACGGCGGGAGTATCGCTCGACACGCAGCGGAGGTCGATGCTACCGCGTACTGTCTGAGTGCAGTATCCTCATAATAACCTTATTATTATACATCTTTTCTTCCTAGGAATACATCATGGAAATGCCGAAATCTAAAACATTTAGTACAGATTTGGCGTACTTCTTTGTGTTGGGTCCGGCCAAACCCTGGGGCAGCCATGTTTGTTTTTTATTAGTAGAGGACGCTTACGCGCGTAATCGTTCCATATTTGGAATTCTCGTTTCCTAATATGGTTGGATGAAAATACCCAGTGCAATACCGTACAATTACGGAACGGTGTAACTTATGGCGTTACAGTGTCAGATGTATAATAATGAAGAATATTGCACATCGCGTAACACAGCCTTCGTCCCTTCAAATGAATCAATGCAAACGTGTTTACTAAAGAAGACATGAGAGGTAAAACAGGGTGGGGATCTCACACTTAGTCAGGTCGGTAATATTAATATAATCATAAATAAACATTAAATGCATTTGTTAAATATTTGAAATATATAAGGTTGAGTATAATTCCAGGTTCAAGGGCGCAGAAACTATGATACAAAGGACATTAGACTAAGTGAAATGTATATTCAGTGATATGTAATACTGTCTCGTACAATTTTTTGAGGTAGAAGAATAGTTTTTTTTTTCCAAAACTGTAATCAGAACAAAAATAGCAATACTTATCTAACCTATAAAATTGTAGAAAGCATTTGGTTTGAAAATAAAAACTTGTTCATTTATTTTAGGGTCACATGAATCGAAAATAATCTTGGAATAAATAGAATGAAAACGCTAATAGCATATCCACTGTTAATATTGTTTGACACAGAGCTAGATTGTATATGCTCATACATTGATCGCCCGTATTTCTTCCTCTATCTTTGATTATATACTTACCACAAACATCTGTAGGAAATCGGCTGTGTTCTCTGTTATAGGGTAGTCATTTGCTTTTAAAAAATCCTGTAGTTTCTCCCTGGAATATACGTACATAAACAACATAAGGATATGCATTGTTATAATATGGGCCATTGACAAGGCATCATGCATTGTTTAATTAACGTACCTTAGGTAATGAAAATTGGTTTTATTAAATGACCATTCTTTGACATCTCTGATCACGGCCCTTAGTTTTCTCAGCAAGTTTTTTTCTTTTCTTGTGGGAAAAAAGAGAAGTGCAACACAATTTTTAGTTTTCAATTAATTCAGACATTGTTACAGCAATAATTAGGTAATAAAAAACTGCTCACAGCCCTCTATTGCATGGTAATAGGGCAGGGATGGGAAGAAAAGCAATAATGGACGAGACGTGGCTGAGCCAAATATTTAGGCCAGTACCCGACCAAGCGATGTTATCTCACAATATTGAGCAGTGCGGAGTCCTTTACTTCAATTATAATACCACGGACTTTCGACAAATTGATTATACGCACAGTGATACCACGAGAAACAAGAAATAAACAGTGTAGCAGCGCACGGTAAACACTTATATTTCAGTTAAGAGAAGATATTTACGAGCAAACGACATGCGACTATACATACGCACATTAATTACATTTCTAGATGAAATTTACCTAAATATAAAACCGACCATCATATAGCTACATTAAGATATATACATTTAATACTTTTAAGTCAACTTCTGTCACCATCCACACAATAAAATCCACGTAATTGTTACAGAAATTGTCATCGAAACCTGTAAAACATTATGTCTAGTGTGTCGAAATAATTAAAATATGTTTAGAAAAACAAAGAAATGTTTATCTCAAATGTTAACCAGTAGCAACGACACGTATACATCACGTTTGCATTTATCACAAAAGGTTATAGGTCATATCACTTGATAAATTTGAATATTATCCAGACAGATTATACTGTAGCTAGCCATGAATACTCGTCATTAACTTCCCCCGTCTAGTCGTTAAATGTTCACGAACATAACAAGATACTTTGATCCGAATGTTGGGCACAATGGCGAGGCGCTTGTGTATAGTCGTCAGTCTGATAGTTGTGTTATGTTCGTAATATAGCTGTAGTTTATGTTTGACTCAAACTAAAAACAAGATATTAATGTCTGAAAATATAGACGTGGACACTGATAACTGCACATTCTTTTTATTCAAGTTAATACACACCTTTACAGTCAGTTGAAGATTTATCACGAGTTGTGTGTTTGCGTGTGTGTATATATGTTAGGAGGTGACGTCGTAGGTGACGTCGTTCGTCATTATGCATATTTATTTATAATGTAAGATGGCCGAATTTGTGACTGTTATAAACTTTAAAACCATCAAAATAAAACATTTTCACAGTTTTGGATCGTACATGGACAAATTTTGTTCAAACTTGCTATGTACCTTGATGTACGTCAAATTGCTTGTCAGATCAGATTCACAATAGTCGATTGGAGGCCATTTTGCTTTAGTGAATGACGTTTCAAATCTATATCGCTGACATGTTCTGATCGTTCATGTTCAAAATTAATATACGTGGATTATGTAATGCAATTACTTGGTTTTTTACATAGAATTATACATTTGCCAACACACCTGGTAATATGCGTTCTTGATAGAAACATGTAAGGTATACTTGTATATCTTGGTGATTGTACATTACACAAACTCTCGAATAAGTTACTCTCTATTGATAATCATATAACGAGTTCTAAACATATTAAACAAAATTGTTTTTTGAAACCGACATAAGGAAGCAACATCATCATATATGTTGAAAATCCAAAATGTCTTTTGTTCAACTGCAAATTGTGCGTGCTAATGTTCCATGTCAAATTGTCTGTACACTGTGGGCCTCCACATGCGTAAAAAACGAACTGACCGTTTTTTAAAAGGTGTAAAAATGAAAGTTAAAATCTTATAAAAATTGTAAAAGTGACCTGTTTGAGTTATAGAAAGTGAATATCGATGTGATTAGTTTATACTGGGTTCGTTTTGTAGGCAATATATGCACTGTAGTGGTCGTTGAGGTGTGTCATCCTAGTTCGTGCGAGGTCAGAGAGTTCTAATTCCGTTAACGCTATTTTTATATATTTTGCCAAGTGGTCTTGAGCGTGTTGAGGCAAATAGCAATCGCCCGCTTTTAGATATGCGATGACACTAATATGACCTAGACATCATGGTAGTGACACAGGTATCAATAACATTATGTTTAATGGGATTTACTATACATGTAGGCATGCGAATTTACGATAAATACGCACCGTTGCTACACAAACACACATCGACTTTGAATCAAAGTTTCAAACATTTATAACATCTGGGTTGATCTCCGATAATAGGTTTGCACCTACTTCATTAAACATCTCACTCAATTATACAATGTGATTGCGTATTCCTACTCGAATGTGCTCCTATCTGTTACACGTTTATCATGTAAATGTACGGAGGAAAAACAAAGGCCTGCAGTAGCACCAACTGTAGCAGCTATTGACACTAACACCAACTTACCCGATTCGAGCGTCAGAAGGTACTTGGTCGCAGTTACACTGTGCGAAGTTGTAGTTCAAAAAATACAATGATGTCATCACGATAACCATGCCGAGAAAGCATACAAAAGTAAAATACTTGGACAATATTGTCACAGCGGCCATGTTAGGCTCCCCAATAATTGTGTCACGTGACAGTGAAAGAACTTTTATTACGATATAATTACAGGTCTGTTACGACCACTAACAACGGACAACACACGAGATTTCATCTCATCAGATTTAATCATTCATTCAGCGCCTATTTTATAGTATCTATTGAATGCCGGCCTACTGCAACTGGATGGACATACACAAGCCAAATGCCTGACGTCAGAGACTTCCACTCGTATTCATGTGAGTATTACTTGTCTAACAACAAAGTGGACCTAACATAATTACAGGTATGACTATACATAACATACAGTTACTGCTGATTCACCGCCTTTTGATACTATGTTTAATTCTCACGCTCCATTCTGTAATCCGTTTGAATAATATAAAATAGCTCTTTAGGTATTCAGAATTGTATACCTTCAAACCATGAATGAAGATGTGATGTTTAACTCCAAAGTAGAGGTTGTACAGCCCAGGATAATCTTGAGAGAGACATCACCATCATGAGAGACATCAGCTAAATCTAGTATTGTTGCTGATCTTTATAGTGTTTTTATTACTGCCTAAATATACGGCCTCTGACTGGCCTGAGTAAAGAGATTAGAGATAGAAGAAATCAAAACTCAAATAAACTGATCAGGAAAATAGTCTGTTTCCTTGGTAACATTGGTAGCTCGTTCTTGGTCTAACTGAGAGTCAACTTTAGCAAGGCTGACACTTGCACGACTTTAGGCCACGATTTTGTCGTGGCAAGTCGTGCCATTTTGGGGCACGAACTGGGAGGCTCCCACACTGTTCACGACCAGTTCACAACGAGTTCACGAATGCATGCCCATCAGTGTACACATTGACAGGAACTGGCACGAAGAGTTCAAGCACAGTTCCCGCATATAAATTAATAAGGAAAATAGTGTGTTTCCTTGGTAACACTGTTAGCCCATTCTAGGTCAAACTGAGAGTCAACTATTGCAAGGCTGACACTTGCACGACTTTTGGCCACGATTTTGTCTTGGCAAGTCGTGCCATTTTGGGGCACGAACTGGGAGGCTCCCACACTGTTCACAACGAGTTCACGAATAGTTCACGAATGCGTGCCCATCAGCGTGACAGTCACGACGGGTTTACGCACAATTCAAGCCAGCTTACGACTAGTTTGCGCGCTGAATGCGTGCCATAGAATCGTGAAAGTGTCAGCCTTGCTTTCATAGTCCTTTCAAAGGACATGCTAGTATGTCCGCAGAATATCAACGTCGTTTGTTAGGTGAGCGCTGCGGGCTTGTACAAAGTACGCCAGTAAGACAACCCAACGTACCGACACATATATGAAGTTGAGTCATTTACGGCCATTTACTCCAGCCATCTTGGACATTATATGCCAAAGTCAGTGTGAGAGTTTCAAAACAAAAAGTGGTCTAAACTTGTCTAAACAAGTTTGGCGATGTCCACAACCAGAGGAGCCTAGGAATCTTTACATGATGTTGTTTCTCGATCACGTGCTAAAAAGTCACATTTCCCAGGCTTCCAGTCAACCGTTCTGGTAATATGCTCATAATGACCTGTGTTATGATGAGAAGACTTATTGACACTCCAGCCGCCCGTGTTCAGTTGTGTGTTGGCCTCTCCACAGCGAATTGAAATATTATTGTTGCATGTCGACGACATAACTTTAGTTTTTACACACAGCAGAGGAAATTAGGGACGACGTCAAAAGATCAATGTCGGATAAAAAACTTATTTGCTTTAGTTGGGGTTAGGGGGGTTTGACCTCAAAAAGTTTCCATCCTACAAAAACGATTTAATTTTTTAATGAAGTCAAAAAATTCTTGGAGTATTTGTAGTTCGTTTTTTTTGGGGGGGCTATCAAATCATGGACAAAAATAACATAAAATGAAGAAAAAACACATCAAAGACGAGAAAATGGTTTTGTCCGGGTGTAAATATGTGCGTCACATTTCAGGGCATGGACTTCTTTGCCATACTATTGCCCGAATATCAATTTGTATTTAATGGTGAATGTAGTCTGACGCCATGATCAACATTTATCAATTAAGTTTCAGTGGGGGTTGGGGTGGAAAAAAACTAAAGGATTTAAGTTTGTTATCCTACATTGAACTGTTGATGTTGTCCCTTAAGTAATTGGCATATCAATAAAACTGTCCATGATTAGATATTGAATTGTAATTTGTATGTGCTACACTGTTTTGTTTTTGTTAGAGTGTACAGAATGGAAGCTTGCTACAAGTATGAGTTGAAGCTATGTGACAGAGAGTTACTGTTAAACATGTCTACGTTCTGCTCATATAGGCCCACATACTGTACTTGTTGCATAGATGGTACAAAGTACGCGATTCGCGATCCTCATAGATTGTTTTCTCTTGGATGCTTTGCTCCAAAATTGGTACACCCGTCATACTCCTTCCCTATGTAAAAGATACCTCTACAGCGGCTGTGGCACAGGGCAGACAAAAATGTTTAGGGGGCGTCGCCCCATCAAAATCAAGCTGAAACCATTTGTGTCAGCAAAATTTGCCCCTTTTAGTGCAGGAAATAGCGTTTCAGAATGTCTAGATTTCAACATTTTTAAGGAAGAGAATGCCCCCTGACCCCCTTCTAAGGTCGCACCTTCGGCGCAAGGTTGGTGAGCAGATCTCGTTCCCTTATGCAAAATTTCGTGTCGCCGCCTCGGCTATATGCGTATTGAATATGCTGTTGCCTAATATTTCGATACGTAATAGGCTGAATATAAACTAATAACCCTGGCAAACTAGGAAGCAGCTAGTGGGAGATGTCAAGGTCGGTCTGCTTAAAGCAAAACCGACATTTTAGTTTTGTATTGTATATTTACATAGGAATCACAGTTGTGATGTAATGATTCATAAACCAAATCAATACATTATGAGAGGCTTGTATATTTGTATATGACCAACATTACAAGTAGTGTCGCTTCAACCGCAAGCGGATTAGTGTACGAAATGCACAAAAAACAACAATTTAACAATGCTTTAAAACATGCCCCACTCCTCTTTTGCTCACCTGGACATTATCCATGATCCGTATAATTTTGAAAATTACAACAACGACTATCGTAGTGATTCAACCTATTTTTATATTAAATCCTTAGCCTCATGGCAACGCAATACAGTCTGCTGATGCGACTTGTATCGGAGTGGTGACGATGCGTCTACATACAGCTTTTTCCGTCAAAATGAATCATGGTGATGTGGCAGCATGGATACACCGAACCACTCGTGGACAAAACTACATTACTTCATAAACATCAGGGTGAGGCGATGGAGGTCTGGTATTATTACATATATATTACCAGACTAAGATCGTCAGAAAAGTCGTACCCACTTCATCCAAGTGTAATCAGCACCTGCCTGTATATTGAACAGTACATGCGCAATAATGGTAGATACGTTTTTAAAAGTTCACTTTCTTCCAAACTGTAAATACAGCCTTTGCATAGAAAAACACCTTTCAATTGTAGTGTCTAATTATAATGAATCGTAGTCTACCCCATCGTTATACGACGAGCATATCTCCGTGACTTTGTTCCCATCAAAGAATAATTGTTCTCATGTCAACGCACCTGACCATCCCGATAATTAACACGCTGAGGAAATAGACTTGGTCATCAGAAATACAGATTGTTTTCAGGACACCACATCTCAAGTTTTTGGGCAGTTATGCGGCCATTTTATGCGCCACTGAGGATTCTATATGGTCACATTGTTTTTCTGCTCTGCATTTTGATCAGCGAGTTACAATACTACCAATATTGTCAATTTTTAACCAGACCCGCACATGAAACCACAGAAGCTTCTATATTGGGCAACATGCAAGACAACATGCAACTCATAATGGCTTGCCGTTGTACTAAAATTAAACCCATTTTGTAAATGTGTACCTGAAACACAGGTAGAACATTTGTAAAAAAAAATATTACGCCAAGTGATTAGTGATGTCATTACTAAGTTCGAATCGATCAATACATGGGGAACTGTTGATTGTATGACAAAATGTTGCCATGTTGTTGTGACTAAAATACTACAAGTTGGTCGAAGCTAAATCAAATAAAACTATTTAACGTACAAATGTTTACTATTGGGTTTGTTAACAGTTAACCGAACTTCGACTTAGGTGAAACATGAACTGTTAAACACACACAAAAATCGATTTACTTTATTACCGAGGACTGTTATCACGTAGACGTGCTCGTCTATCCGTGATTAATATCGTCATAAATTTTCTCGAAATTAACTTGTCGTATCACTCATTCAGAGCCACTTTGTATAACACACAGGTCCCGCGATCGCGTTCTAGGTAAGTGAAGATACAAGTTTTTAAATGATGCAGCATGATTGTATCTAAACGTCTGAGATGTGCATTATGTTTAGTTTACTGTTTTTGAACAAAGTAACAGTACAGGGAATTTTTAGTAATATACTAGGCATGTACAATCAGCTTCTGATTTGCAGGTTCCACACCAGACATATTTTATGTACCGCTTATTTTGAAAAAAATCGATTACCCTTGAATGGTATTCGCCATTTTGTCTATGGGCGAGATATATCAACATCATTTATTTATCAACATCATCCACATTTATTGTTGGATGACGGATTTTTGTTTTATTAAGGTGTTCATAACTGATACTGTATATGTTCACCAGTATTTTTTTATTTTATCAGGCATTTATTAATAATAAACACCTGAGGGGTGATCAATAAGTTCTCGGCCTTCCTCAAAAACGTTACACTATTTTTCAACATAAGTTTAAGGTCAATTTAACTTTGTCCATCGATGTTCCAGTTTTCCTATTCCCTGCTGGAAGAAGGTTTTATCTTGATCCTTTAGATAGGCCTCAACAGCTTGAATCGCCACGCAAAAATGTGACTACGTGACCACGCAAAAATGACTTTAGTTTAGGAAACACGTAGAAGTCCGACGGTGCCAGGTCAGGCGAGCAGGAAGGGTGAGGTGAGAGTTCAAAGCCACATTCGGTT